CACACATGATAGTAACTATCAAGGTACATGACAATGACTTGGCCCACGTAGAGTTGTCATGTTTAGTCAACATTTGTCGACAAGACAATCAACCGGGACCACTTCACTTGCTCATGTTCGCTGTGAATTGTGACGGACAAATCAAGTATGGTTGCGGGCGAATTGGGTGTGGTTGCTATGAATGAAGGCGTCGGGCGAAGGGGGGCTCGATCAACGAAGGCGACTGACAAAAGAATGGCTTGGCTTGAGGGAAATGGCAAGGAGGGATCGAATCTAGGGAAACTTTGTGAGATTTTGGACAAGATCAAACTAGGGTTCATTTGGTTGAGCGAAGATGATTTAGGCGAGAATTCTCTAGCTAGGCCCAACCCTGTCTGGGACTTCATAAAGTCTTTTTTTTTTTACAATTTTTTTAAAAGCAAAATGGCGTCGTTTTGCTCTCCGACTGCCATATACCGATGCTAAATATAATTTTAAATCAAACTTTTTCGATTATTTATAGTCAGATGAACTGAATAGGCACAAATTCAAAATGTTTAGGATTAAATTGGCAAAATTAAAAGGTTTAGGACTGAATTGGCACATATACAATAGGTTTAGAACTTTTTTTGTAATTTTCCTGAACTTGTGGCCAAAGCCCTTTCACTTGTTTCGCATTCAAGGCATTATTTTTGTATATTCACAGGGGCTAATTTGTTTCTCAGACGTGTTCTCTAATAAAAAATGGAGTCCAAGTGTTAAAAGGCCAAAGACGTTTTGAACTATATGTGTGCAGTAAAATATGCATGGTTAACAAATGTTTCGAGAAGTTTTTTAAGAGTAAGACAATATGTAATTGCACATTAAATAATTTCATAATAAATCGACCCTTGAGTTAGGTTTTAATCTCAAGACTCCAATAATTAATCTAAATCCTCTATGTACAACTGGCAATATCGTGGATCGACTCCAAATGAAATTTTTGGTCCTTGTCCAGTTTATTCATTTTGTGCATGACCATAGTAGGAAAGTTAAACTGGTAGGACTTTCAATGCAAAAATAGTATATGGCAAAGAGAATTTAATTGGTATTAGTAACTCTGACCAAGTCACATCATTTCGAGAAAGTGACAAGATGGGTTGTAATGCAAAGCTCTCAACCACTGAAAAATAGCAAAGTGCTAGACATGCTTGGAGGGATTGTTTCAAATTTTTTCTAGCAATGATCTCTTGTATTGTCTACAAAACGAATTGAGAAAAGACCGATCCATTATTGATGAAAATCTTTAGGCAGAGTTTGGTATTGATAATGAAAACATTTCTCTTTCTTTATTCTTTAAATGATGCGAACAATTACTTTTAAGAAAAGATTTTTCAAATTATTGATTTTCTGTCAAATGAGTCTACATATTATAAGCGATAAGCAACTTGGAGCTTGGGAAAAAGTGTCAGAAAAGTCCTAAACCTTTTGTATTTGTGCCAATTTAGTCCAAAACCCTTTTTTGTGCTAATTCACTCCTAAACCTTTTGTTTTTGTGCCAATTTAGTTCTTTCAACTAATTTTGGCTGGATTTTGCTGACGTGGACGCCGGCCGGTGATGACATGGACAATTTTTAATAATATTTTCATATTTTTTGAATTTATTTTTGAAAAAAAATATTTCTTTTTTTTTCTTTCCCTTTCTTCTTCCTCCAGCTGGTCGCCGAACCGGCATCTGGCTGGAGGCCAAGGTCGGCGAGCCCCGTCGGCTGCTGGTGAGGCACGACCCCGCCGAATCTGGCGAGGTCGGGCCTCACACATGGTCGGCGACCCTCTCCAGATCCAGCGAGGGCAAGCCGCGCCCAGCCCAGCGCGAGGCTCGAGCCCTCGCCGGATGGCCACGAGGGCGGCCTTGAGCTGGGCTAGGCAAGGCTCGATCTCGACAGGCACGACCTCGTCGAATCTGTCGAGGTCGAGCCTCCCCCATGGCTGACGAGGCTCGCCCTCGCCGAATCTGGCAAGGTCGAGCCTCCCCCATGGCCGACGAGGCTCAACCCTCACCAAATCCAGTGAGGATGAGCCTCGCCCAGCCTAGCGCGAGGCCACTCTCGCGGCCATCCGACGAGGGTTGAGCCTCGCCGCCCTCGCCAGTGGCCGGCGGGGCGAGCCTCACCATTGGCCAACGGGGCTTGTTGGCCCTGGCCTCTAGTCGGTCACCGGACCGGTGACTGGCTGGAGGAAGAAGAAAGTGAAAAAAAAATAAAAAATTCGAAAAAAATTAAAATAGTATTAAAAGTTGTCCACGTAATCGCCAGTGGTGCCATGTAAGCCGGCTGACGTCCACGTTAGCAAAATCCGGCCAAAATTAGCCGGAATGACTAAATTGTCATAAAGACAAAAGGTTTATGATTGAATTGGTAAAAAACAAAAAGTTTAGAACTAAATTGGTACCGATATAAAAAGTTTAGGACTTTTTTGACACTTTTACCTTGGAGCTTGCTTTCAGCTTCCCCTACCGACAGGGGAAATACTAATGGAGACCATACTTTGGTGGGCAGATAAAGCATTAATAGCGACGACCCTATGTCACAGTCAACTTCTGATTTTTAATGATCCTCTCCCCCAAAACATGCCACTTTTCAAAGGCAAATATATGGAAATTTATCTTCTTTACGAGACGTGCGATTTTTTCCCATAAAAGTAGATAGGGAATGAAAGTGGCAGGGAAAAACCCTCGCTAATGAATCCACATGGATCATGTATTTCAAGGGAAAAGTGCCAAAAAAGTCCTAAACCTTTTGCATTAGTGCCAATTTAGTCCTAAACCTTTTTTTGGTGCCAATTCAGTCCTAAACCTTTTGCATTGGTGCCAATTTAGTCCTAAACCTTTTTTTGGTGCCAATTAAGTCCTAAACCTTTTAAATTGATGCCAATTCAGTCCTAAACCTTTTAAATTTGTGCCAATTTAGTCCTTCCGGTCAATTTTGACCGGAATTTCTTGGACGTGGACGCGCTGGCCGGCGGCCGGTCACCGCGCCGACGTGGACAAATTAAATAATATTTTAATAATTTTTTGAATTTTTATTTTTTCCTTTTTTTTTTTTTTTTCCACTTTTTTTTTGGTTTCTTCTTCATCGGCCGGCCGCCGGTCCGGCGATCGGCCAGAGGCCGTGGCCGGCGAGCTCGACCTCGCCGGCCACCGGGAGGGCGGCCTCGCCGGCGAGGCCGAGCCTCGCCATGGTCGGGCGAGGCTCGACCTCGCCGGATCGGCAAGGTCGAGCCTCGCCCGGCCGCCGGCGAGGCCCGACCTCGCAGATCCGGCGAGGTCGGGCCTCGCCCGACCATGGCGAGGCTCGAGCCTCGCCGGAGGCTGCGGCGAGGCGAGCCTCGCCCGACCATGGCGAGGCCCGACCTCGCCGGAGGTCGCGGCGAGGGCGAGCCTCGCCCGACCATGGCGAGGCCCGACCTCGCCGGAGGCGCGGCGAGGGCGAGCCTCGCCCGACCAAGGCAAGGCTCGAGCCTCGCCGGAGGCCGGCGAGGGCGAGCCTCGCCATGGTCGGGCGAGGCCCGACCTCGCCGGATCCGGCGAGGTCGAGCGTTCGCGATCCGGCGAGGTCGGGCCTCGCCCGACCATGGCGAGGCTCGCCCGACCATGGCGGGGCTCGCCTCGCCGCGGCCTCCGGCGAGGGCTCGAGCCTCGCCCGACCAAGGCGAGGCTCGCCCTCGCGGCCTCGGCCTGAGCCGGTCGCCGGACCGGCGACCGGCCGAGTAAGGAGGAAGACAACCAAAAAAAAAGTGGAAAAAAAAAAAAAAAAAGGAAAAAAATAAAAATTCAAAAAATATTAAAGTTGTCCACGTCGGCGCCGGTGACGGCCGCCGCCGCAGCGTCCACGTAGGCAAATTCCGGTCTAAATTGGCCGGAAGGACTAAATTGGCATAAAAACAAAAGGTTTAGGACTGAATTGGCACCAATTTAAAGGTTTAGGACTTAATTGGCACCAAAAAAGGTTTAGGACTAAATTGGCACCAATGCAAAAGGTTTAGGACTGAATTGGCACCAAAAAAGGTTTAGGACTAAAGACTAATGCAAAAGGTTTTGACTTTTCTGGCACTTTTCCCTGTATTTCAACCATGTGATATGAACGTTCAGAACCTGCATATATCGATGTAGTTGAGCACTGATCATGACTTCATAAGGAGTCTAGATCAAGGACGCATGGAGTTATTGCATGGCACCAAGTTTCAAAAGAGAATAAGAGCCCTAGTCATTGTTTGCTTGTCTTGATTCATTGTAGATGTACCCGGATTCAGGTCATATGAGTCGGCCCATAATTGTTGTCATGTCACATTCACTTACTTTCAAAAGTTCAAACCACCGATTAACGACTCCTCCTTTTCGTTTTTAACTATTTACCCAAACCCGGGACACAATAACATAGAAGTGAAGCGTAATTTCAGTATCGAATTCGGGGTGCGTCCGATACTCGATACGCGCATGAAGTGCTGAAAATTGAACTTAAAAATTTAATATTTAGGTGATGGGCTCGTCCACTGAGGAGTTAGTGTTTTAGTGACGCCTTAAACTGGATATTGAGCGGCGAATCAGGTAGATCTCAATCTATCTGAACCCTCTTCTATTTACAAAAAAAAAAAGGAAAAAGAAAAGGTAAGTTTGAAAACCATTAAGTATACACAACTTAATTGATGTTTTAAGTCGAAAATCGTTTATCTGTGACGTGCAAGAAAGAACTTAATTCATTGGTCGGGTGGTAAAATATTCAAAGGAAATGAAAATGTCACCAATCAAAGAATTCCCTCAAAACCTTCTAATAATTTTCTATATTCCATATTCAGTCGACACAAATAAAAATGTATTATTTCATTATCATCGATTATCAAACAACTTTTTATTTTATTTTAGTAGTCCGTACTCATATTTTCAGCACTTATTTTTCAATTTTATCAAACGAACCTATGTGTAAGAGAAAGAGAATATTTCGACAAAAAAAAGAAGAAGAAATAGAGAATATACAATAATCAGATGCAAAAGCACATACTTATATGTCTCCTATTAATAATAAGTAAACAAAATTACATTACACATCAATTTTACACTTAATTTGCTTCGTTCTTCTTCTAGAAAGGGAATATTTACCTCAGTTGTGGGCTACAACAAGCAAGATTTCAGCCAGAAAAAACAGCTCGTGACCTATATAATAAACATAAAAGACAAACAAAGTGTCTTCCTAGCTAGCCAAATTCTTGCATAGACCCGGTCCAATGCGATCGGGACCAATCACAGGAACTTGATTAAACCTGGATATTTCCATTCGACTGGACCTTCTCCATGCAAGAATTGATCACTTCCCTAACTTAGATCTAGCTTTTGTTAGAACAAAGCATCCGCATCTAATGCCATGCTCATGAGGTAATCATCTTGTAGTCCTTGAACTGAAGCATCATCAAGCAGCCATTTTTCAAGCAACTTTATTGGCACTTGATGATTATGATTACTATCCAAGCTCGGCTTGCTCTCCTCTTGGAAAATCGCGCTTGTTTCCGGCGTCAGATTAACATTGTTTTCGTCTGCCGACATTGATTGGGACACATCGGAGTTCGAGGAGTTGAAGCTGAAGAGCGAGTCAAAACACTCTGGGGTTGCCGCGTTACCGCCTTCGCTAGTGCTCGAACCTGCGGTGGCAGCCATTTTGTTGGAAACATTTGTGAAGCGGACAGCATTTTCCGCTTTGATCTTCCCTGTTTTCGGTGAGCTCTTCATCCATCCATCGAGCAACCTTGCGATGTTCTTGGTGCTCGATGCATAGCTTGATTCTTGGTGTGGTGGTCTGTTGCAATCATCGTCACCATCGCCAAGTGCTATTGTTGTTTCTTTCAAGAAGCTTTGTTGGTTGTCCAATGACAAGGCTTCATAGAGGGCTTGTTTGGCCATGTGAATGTCGGTTTGGAGCTTCCTCTCCCACTGGCCCTTGGGAATGGACTGTGAAGTTGTCGTGAACCCTTGTTGGTGATGATTATGTTCATCATCATCAGGACTTGCTTGGCCTTGAAGCTTCTTCAGCTTTTTCTTCAAGTGGGTGTTCCAGTAGTTCTTGATATCATTGTCAGTCCTCTGAGGAAGGTATGAAGCTATGGCCGCCCACCTGCCCATGCCACCAAAAAAAATCTGTATCATTAGGGTTAATAATCAAAATTTTAAACCAATACCCACAAAAAGAGATCTCATGCGTGTATAAATGTAAAAATCAGGATTTTTATACTATACACTGTCGGTGGAACATATGGTTTTTATTTAGCATACAGACAGTTTCTATTTTTTGTAGCCACAATAGTATTAAAAGGAAACCCTGAAAAAATTGACAATTTTTTGGGTACATACCTGTTACCAAGAAGAGCCTGAAGGTGGATGATCATCTTTTCCTCTTGATCGGTGAAGCTACCGCGCTTGATACCGGGACGGAGGTAATTAGTCCATCTGAGCCTGCAGCTCTTGCTGCATCTGAGCAAACCTGATTCACATATACGCTCGAAAATCTTAGAAATGTGTGAATACCAGTGAATGAATATGAAGTACATCTGCTATATTAATTAGGGCAAGAAACTCGGGTATATCAGGAAAAAAAGGTGAAAAGATAGGAAAGAACCGACCGAGAGGCCACACATCACCACATGAACTAGCTCTAGCTAGTGCAGGACATATATTAATTGCAGCAATTTATTGATTCAACCAACCAGCAAGAGGGAACCCAACCCACAAAGAGAAAAACCACAAAAACAAAAAACTGGTAAAAGAAAGGAGGACCAAGTGTTTTTTCTTCTAACAATGTAGAGTAATAACCTGTGTTAGTAGGAACAGATCTCCAATTCCCAGGTCCATGCTCTTGAATGTAAGTCACCAACATGATGTCTTCTTCAGGTGTCCATGGCCCTTTCTTCACTCCAATCTTGTCGCAGCACGGCGGTCTTCCCATCTCTCTCTCTCTCTCTCTCTCTCTGCGCGATGTCTTGAGCACAAGTGGCTTTGTTTGGTTTTAGCTACAGATGAGACTTGAGCTAGCTTAAGGCCAAGGCTTTTGCTTGTCTGTTTGTGTGATTCCTGTATATATAGAGAGAGAAGGCGATGAGGACGAGCTTAGCCAAGCGTAGGGCCTGTTGGGATGCTGACTGAGAAAGAGGAGGAGGAAGAGGAGTTCTTCAAAAGGAGTCAAAGAGGACAGCAAAGTGCATTTACTCAGGGATTGCAAAAGTCAGCTTGGTTTGGACCTCTTCTCTGCCTCCCACAAGCCGTGTGGCAGTCGTTTGAGGGGGTTTCGCTGGCACTTATCATCAAAACCCTACGTTTACCCTCCTCCCTCCATTAATGGCTTCCGAACGAGTCCCATCTTTTCTTCTGGTTCGACCCCTTTTTCTTCTTTTTCTTCCTACATGCTCTCAGACACTCGTCTCACTACCTGTCAAATGCGGTCGAACAATCACAAGTATACCTCTCTCTCAAGTATTTTACGTGGAAAGAATTGACCAAAACCATCTTCATTGATATTCGCTCAAAACCCGATGAGGTTTAGTTAAAGAAGCATGGGACTTAGCCACCACCGATTATTTCTAAAAAAATAAATATTTTTCTAAAAATGATTGTTCATATTGCTTGAAATAATTAGCTAACAAAAAATATTTTCATTATCGACAATAATTTATATTTAAATATTTTGTGGACGATGAAAATATTTTTCGTTCATTTATTTTTGTAAGTAATGTAAAGGATCGTTTTTAAGAAAATATCTTTCAAACCATTTATTTCCTGCAAAATGAACGGAGCAGTAAACATTCATTTGGCGTCGAGGGTCCCTCTAATAATATGAACTTATTGAAAGTTAGTAAATTCGAAACTTTAGTCATAAGTTAAGCATATATAAGTTAGTACATAAATTAGTAATTCGCTAACTATAAAACAATATGGTAACTTCATAAACGTGTTGGTAAGTTAACAACAAGTTATCTAAAAAAAAAGAAGTGATTCGCCGTTTCTTTTACCAATGATTTTTCGACATAGAACAACAGGATTCTGCTCCCATTGCCTTTGTCCTTAAGCTTCTCCTTTCATGGTCCTATAGTGATAGCTACGGTGAGTGATGGAATTTTTTAGTTTGGTCCCCCTACTAGAACGGACTAATTAGCTCTTTGCTAGTCTCTCTATCAACACCCAATTCATGAAAAGAAAGAAATGAACTTTCATCAACTCGAGTTCTTTCTCATTATTGTTGCTTCCTAGTCCACTGAGTTACATCAATGAGAGGAAATTCGACCAATTTTCTCAACCCTCGGAAGATAAGAGAGGGGGGTTGAGTTATTTAATTGGTGGTTTAAAGTCTTAATCGACAGGACACGATATCGAGTGTCGCTTGAACGTTTGATGATCACAACGGTTTATCCATCTAAATGTTAATAAGCTTGTGGATCGAGACATGGTTGTACTATGCAAGTAGGTCACCCTCGTGTACGTAATAATAATGGAGAGATCCGCTATGTTCGAATGCATTGGTATTTCTCCCATGAAATATATGGTCATACACCTGTGTGGACAACGTACAAAAAGATACTATAGACTACTAGAGGAGGACTGGGAGTATAGCTACTTGAGATAATTGTCCAAAAAATCCTAAACTTATTGTATGGCGGCCAATTCAGTTCCAAACCTTCGATTATGTCAATTTAGGCCTAAACCTTTTGACAACTTGCTAATTAGTCTTAAACCTTTCAATTGTAACGATTTAATACTAAACCTTTCAATGATTTGTCAATTTAGTCCGAAACCTTTTGACAACTTGCCAATTTAGCTTTTTTGGTCAATTTTTTTTCGGAAATTGCTGACATGGACGCCGACCGACCACCAGCCATCCTATGTGGCGTGATTGGCGCTAATGTGGATAATTTTTGCATTTTTTAAAGTTCTTTTTCCTTTTTTCCTTTTTTCCTTTATGTTCTTTCATTTTCTTTCCCTTTGGCCCATGGCCAGTACTCAACTATGGTCGGCGACCGGCCATAGGTGAGGGCGTCATGGCACTGGCAAGGGCTCGACCCTCGCTTATGGCTAGTTGCCGGCCATGGCCGAGTACTGGCCGCAGACCAGAAGGAAAGGAAATGAAAGGAAAAGAAAAAAAAAATGCAAAATTTGTCTACGTTAACACCGACCATGTCATGTATGATGGCTGGCGGCCAGCCGGCCTCCACATCAATGATTTCCGGCCAAAATTGTGGGGAAGGTCTAAATTGGCAAGTCGTCAAAATGTTTAGAATTAAATTGACACAATTAAAATGTTTAAAATTAAATTAGCAAGTCATCAAAAGATTCACAACTAAATTGGCACAATTGAGAGGTTTAGAATTGAATTAACTGCCGCACAATAAGTTTATGACTTTTTAGATAATTTTCCCATGGTTGCTCTATTTATCGCTTCGAGATTTCACTCCAAATCTACATAAATCCAATCAATGCACGCAATTATACTTAATTAATCTAATTGCATTTATTCTCTCGGCTTTAAATGTAGAGGACGAGAAGGATTTTAAAGAGGGGTTGGACTTGTATGAGCACAATAAGTTTCTTGTTTACAAAAGGGTTGTAATTGATATTTATTGGCCGGGACAATTGATGCAGACACGGACGATCGAGGTGCGTGTCCCGGCCATGGCTTGTCTACGTGTGGACATGCATCATTCGACCAATTTTATCCCGTAGGGTTTTTACAAATTGGGACATAAGTTTTCAGAAATTGTTTTGAGTTGAAGTTAATTCAGGAACAAAGAATTAATCAATTCACACCGATTGGAGGTACTTATTCCACTCGATCGAGTGCATAATCATCTTTTCTAAAGATGCAGATTCTCATCTTAGGCTCCGTTTGTTTTGCGGAGAACAACTTTCAGGAATATATTTTCCGGGTCTTTTTCAGATTTCAGCCGGACACCGAAAAATTGTGTCATTTTCCCGAAAAATGACTTCCTGAAAAATATTTTCCAGCAATGTCACATTTTCCAAGAAACGAACGGAGCCTGAGATTTTTATCTTAGGCTCTGTTAGTTTCCTAGAAACTGAACGATTTGTTTCTGAAAACGAGTTATTATATCACTTGGAATAATTAGCCGACAAAAAACATTTTCATCGTCAATAGCAATTTATGCCTAAATATTTTCATGAATGATGGGAATATTTTTCGTTCGTTTATTTTTGTAAGCGATACAAGCAATCGTTTCTAGAAAAACGTTTTCCAAAACGTGGGTTTTCCGCAAAACAAACGGACCCTCGCGGAAAAATAAACGATTTGAAAAATATGTTCCTAAAAATGATTGGTTATATCGCTTGAATTTTTATTATCGATAATAATTTATACCTAAGATTTTTCGTGAATGATAAAAATATTTTTCGCTCGTATATTATTTTAAGCGATACAAACTATCGTATTGGAAAAAAAAAATTTCCAAATCGTGAGTTTGTCGCGCACCCTTGATAGTGGAATGGCTTGTCTAAAATTTGAGGTGGATTTGATGGCGTTAGGCAGCTTCGGTGACATCTAATTAATTGCCGCCCCCCCTGGCCCAAATAAATAAATAAATGATAATGATAACAAAAAAAAGAATGCTGGTAATGATGATGGTAATCGACAGCCACATGATCGCTTCGCACGCAGACCACGCGACCGGCGACACGTGTCCGCGCGGGTGGGGCCCCGTGGGGGGGCCCTCCCCGACAGATGAGTGAATGCGGGCGTGATGTGAGAGGGGTAGGAGGAGGTAGTTGACTAGATGAGGTGGGCGCATTTATGGCCTTTCCCCCCCCCACGGCCCCCGTAAAAGTCAACCCTTGTGCCAGCTCACTCCCGACGGTGATGCTTTCCCTAATTTCTTTTCCTTTTTCTTTAGCATGGCTTTTACATGTATTTAATCTCCTTGTGTTTTTTTCTTTCTTTTTCGTAAAATTGATTAATGTCGGTTACTTTGCTTCTGGCGAAAGTACAATCCGTGCCACTTAGCAGGTTTCTCCCGCTCTCTACTACTCCCTATTAACCATTAAATAGGGCCCGGGTGGGTAGGAGCCGATTCGATCCGATATGCCTTTCACTCGGTCTTTCTCGTCTTGGCCTTGTCTGGGATCGTTTTCTTATACTATCAATTCCTCGAGATAAATCGCATTTAACCCGTTTTTGTCTGGATGCCGATTTCCTTAATAAGTCACGTGAAAATCGTGCCGCTTTAGAAAAAGCCTAGGATAGTGGTTGACACGGGTATATATTTACAATCGATAATATGTGACATTGTTATCCATCTAAGCATAGAAATTACCCAAATTTTACAAAAAATAATTATCGAGAAATTGCCACGCGGAAATCATTGAGGTAAAAATGAAGTACGATGTGGGGAGCGACCACTCCCTCAACTGCGGTTTCAATTATATACTAGTCAAAATTGCATGCTCTTTGTGCGGGAAAATCTGAAAAAAAAAGAAATTGCGGTTCCTTATGAAAAGAAATTTCATAATCCTAGGGTGGAAAAAAATATCGATAACTCAATGTTTTAAATTGGTCAGTAGATTTCGAGAAACTCGATAAAATGGCACTTTTTGGGGAGGGGGGTGAAATGACACTAGTAGTCTCTAAAATTTAGCTCAATATTAATTTATTTAATGTGGCCCCTGAGTTTTTGGGACATATTCAATTTAGTTATCGGATTAGATAGTCCATGGACTAGATTAAATCAAGAGATATAATAATCCGGGGACTAGATCGAATATCTACAAAAAGTTCAAGGGCTGCGTTGAGCAAATTAAAAGTTCAATAATTATTTTACATATCGGGTGAAAGTTCAGAGATTATATTAAAAAATAAAAAATTTAAATACGGTATTATACATTAGATCAAAATTTATGAATCGTTTGAACTGTTATTCTTTCTTTTTTACTGAAATCCATCGTGTACGTTAATGCTATCATGATGTTGTTGTCCTTTCCTTAACTTGTGGAAAACCTCATCCTTATTCCTCCATGTAATTCGATAGAAATGGATTTAGCCAAAAATAACTTCTAGGCAACGGTGCCGGTGCTTATGATGATGAGGCAGTACATGGTTAGACAAGAAAGGACAAAGCCCACAACCATGAAGATGGAAAGAAAGAAAAAGTAGAACATGAAGACGGAAAGAAAGAACAAGTAGAAAAAGTCAAAGGGAATTAAAGTGAGCTCTTCATATCACCTTTATGTTACTAAATAATGTTCATTGCTCCCCTTAATTTTACCGAGAAAGCTCCATTTATTATTATAGTTATAATTATTTTTATATTATTAAAGAAAAAAGGAAAAAGAAAGAAAAAAACAAGAAAACTCCTGTCAAGAATGGGATTCGAACCCATGCCCTTTCGGACCAGTACCTGAAACTGGCGCCTTAGACCAACTCGGCCATCTTGACTCGCTGCCAAACTGGATCGTATTTCATATATTTGATAGCAATAATCTCGCTTGTCTAAGTAATTTGGTCATTAGATCTCATTCGCTTTGTTGGATCTAAAAGAACACTAGAAATGCTAATGAGAATTCCAAGATGAAAAAAGGAAAGAAATGAAAAATCTTGAAAACTCCTAAAAAATGACGAGATCATCACGTTTAATAAGTGTGGAACGTATCAGATTTCCTTTCTGCAAAATTACATGCCTCGCGTGTCCAAAGTTATCATCATCACTTCTTTAAAGAGTTCAAATCCAGGAGATACGTACGTCATGTTCTGGGCATGAGTTGCCTTCACTGCATCATTGTTCTTTTTTGTTTTTCAGGAGATTAGAGTGACACTTGCAATCGAGAAATCAAGAAAGGCATCATCTCCTCCTGCCCGGGACTCCGTTACAAAGATTCAAGCATAGAGAGAGTGGTCTTTTCTCCTATTTTTGCGTCACGGTTGCACGAAATTCTGCTCGCTTGTAGCGATATTCCACACACCCATCAGCTAGGAACTGAGATAGCGCGTGCTGGAAAGAGTCGATATTCATCGGTGATCTCCGTTCGAGTTGCAAATATACAAATCCTCTGTAAACTGGTGCAACTTATCCTTTTGTCTCCCCAAGCTAAGAAAGAGGAAGACAATCAACTCTTCAATATGCATTTGACAGAGTTTCCTCCTCCCATGAAATGTCACTCTTTTCGCTGGTTCAAGCAAAGCTAACAGCAGATTACAGGATCGCCCTCTGAAATTTGTTACCCGACAGCTACACTTTTTGGTTGAAACTTTTGGTCCCGAGCAAGTGCATTGGTTTTTTCCTGCCTCTGGAAAAGCTCTTGCACGTCAAACACAACATTCGTAAGCTGCTCGTAGTGAGTCGGTGGCGCTCGTTGTTGATAAGCATATTGAATCACTGGCACCAACCCTTCTACTACTTCGCCGTGACTAGCTCCGGTCATCATGCATACACCTATGTTAAACTCGGTACAAAGCTTTTCCCTGGCGTTTTTTGAGCTTTTCGTGCAGCCATTGAGCCTCTTTCCTTGAGAACATCGTTCCATCTCCCTGCTTCAGCAAAAATATTAGACGAAGCAACACGATCCTGACTGTCCTTCTGTGTCTTTCCATCCATGAGCCTACTTACCAAGTCTACCCCCAGATCAAAATGACCATAAGCTCTACACCCGCTTATTAATGTTCTCCAAATAACAGCATTACACTCTACAGGCATGTTGGTCACAAACTTGTATGCCTCCTCCAATAGACCTGCTCGTGCAAACATGTCGACCATACATCCACAGTGCTCGATCTCGGGTTCAATATGGTACTCGTGACGCATAGTGTCATACAACATTCGACCTTCATCAACCAAGCCAGAATGGGCACATGCTGACAAAATTGTGATGAATGTAACAGAGTTTGGCACAACATTTGCAGCAACCATTTGCTGAAAAGCAGCAAGAGCTTCCCTTCCTTCGCCATTAATGGCATGACCTGCTATAACTGATGTCCATGAGACAATATCCCTCTTGACCATCTTCCGGAAAACAGCTTTAGCTTTAGGCATGCAGCTGCATTTTGCGAACATATCTATCAACGCATTTTGCACTACAGAACTTTCGTGGAGATGATCATTCTGCTTGAAAAAGGATTCGATGTTGATACTGTGACACAGCTCTCCAAAATTTCGGCAAGCAGAGATCAGACCTAGCATTGTCATTTCATCTGGCTTTAGTTTACTAGAACGCATCACGTGGACGAGGCTAATTGCCTCGAGATAATGTCCATATTCTACATAAGCATGAATCATGGAATTCAATGACGGGAGATCATGACGCTGTAATTCATCAAAAACATTTTTAGCATAGTCTATCAATCCAGATTTGGAATACATGCTAATTAGTGCGGCCCCAAGGGCACCTGACACCTCTACTCCCCTTGTTTTTATAAAATTATGCATTATTCTCCCCGTATCAGAATTCCTACTATTAGCACAAGCCACGAGCATGCTAATCAATGACACTCTGTCACACAGCATGTCTTGGGCTCTCATCTCCTTGAACAAAGCCCGAGCTTTTGTGAAGTTATGATCCCTAGCATACCCTGCAAGCATAGTATTCCACGAAATCAAATCCTTGCATACCATAGTTCTAAATATCATGTCCGCATCATCCATAAACCCTGATTTCGCATACAAATCCACAAGAGCATTAGACACCTCGATCATCAGAAGCAACCCCATCTTCCAAGAATAAGCATGAGAGACCTTCCCCACTTCAAATTGCCCAACTTCAATACACCCGCCTATTACAATCACCAAAGTGACATGATTTGGCTTCAAAACCACCCCAAAAGAACAACCCAGAAGTCGTCTGAACAAACTCAACCCAGCAGTGAAATCCCCATTCTTCATAAGCCCAGAAATCATGCAGTTCACCGTGACGACAGTTCTCTGAGGAATTCCATCGAACAACGCACGAGCGTAACCCGCAAACCTCCTCGAGCTCAAATAGAAGTGTATCAAGCTGTTCAACACATTCACATTATCGCCCAAACCACACCTCAAAACCCAGCAATGAATCGACTTTCCCAACAAAGTGGCAGACAACTTGCTGCAGGCTTTGATCAGCGAAGCATACACGTAAGGGTCCCAAAGGCACCCGCTTCGCTCGAACCTTTGTGCGTCGCTGAAAAAGGAAACCACCTGAAGAGGGTCCTCTTTAAAACCGATGCTTCGGGCCGTGGAATACCAGGCGGGTCTGCCGGGTTCTCCGGATGGGACGGAGACGGTGGCGACACCGCGCCTGCGCGATGCGGAGACTGAGAGAGCGAAGCGAGAGAGGCCTCGACGGCGGTGAGAGAATGGGCTTGAAGCGAAGAAATGGGATTGGTGTGGGGCGGTGGAGAGAGTGATTCTCGCATGGAGGAGAGGGGTCAGCCATTGATGGCAGAGTGAGCGTTTCATGAAACGAGACAAAGGACAGTTCAGTGATGGACGAACATTTTATATGTACGAAATGAAAATTTTAAATATAAAATGCTTTGAAAAATAGCAACGCCGTGGAGATGGCCGAGTTGGTCTAAGGCGCCAGATTAAGGTTCTGGTCCGAAAGGGCGTGGGTTCAAATCCCACTCTCCACATTCATCCTTCCTTTTTCGTCTTCTTTTACTCTCCGCTAGTTTATGATAAATTGGATTAATACCACGTCAAACCCCAAACTAATATATCGACAACAAATTGGAGGGTAAAACCCTAAACTGGTATACCCGTCAACTGCCTTGTGTCATCAAACTGAATAATTTTACAATAAAATTTAACGTAAACTAACGGAGAGTAAATTTATCGCATGTGTACCAGTTTTTGGTTTTTAGCGATCAAAAAATTAATTTAGGATAAATTTATCACAAATATACTAATTTGAGATTTTTCGTAGTATTAACTCAAATTAAAAAGAAAAGCATTTTACTCTTTTACATGCCTTTACATTTTCCAATTTTAATTAGTCCCACGTGGGTACGATAGTCCTCCTCCTATCCATTGACATTATTACAAAGCCACATATTTTGTATCGATAACAAGGTTGGGAAGGATGTGATCAATGCTAACGACTTCCTGCGGGCATTATCTTAATGATTTCCATCATCAACTTGGGAGTGTTTGATTTGAGTTATAGTTACTTTGCTAGCGATGCAGTGCGAGCCATCCTAAAGTTTGTTCACAACGTGAATCAAATTAGTGATCTTGTGGAAAGGTGAGCCATACTTGGCCATCAATTAGGTAGTAGTATTATAAAACTGCATTGACTTTATGGATAAGATTATTTTAGTTATGCGATGTAAACTCATGTAAAGTTCACTTACTCATATTTGGCGACAATGTGGGTGGAGGGTTATATGGCCAATATATGTAAGTAAAGTCGCCCTCCTTCCGTGGGCAATCAAGTTGAAAACATTGGGATTAAATTGTAAGATTGCCGACATTTGTTTTGAGAAAGTGATGCAGAAAATTGGTCTGGTTTGCAAAGTTATGACACGATTAATGAACGCGTGGTGTTTGGGTTATATTTGAATTTGATTATAGATAGAAAGGGAGCAATACGAAAAGTTGATATGCTTGGTAAAATTACAACACGAATAACAAATGTGTCGAGTTTGGGCTATATCATGATTTGACATGACATGATTACAACACGACACATAAATACGAATTACTAACTGTGCACGACATGCTAGAATTGCCGATAGACATTCTTACCTTATGACCAAGATAACTCATCAGTCACACCAAGGTGATGGTCTAATAATAAATGGATCACCTGTTTTTAAAAAATTAGCGAGATCAATTCCCATCAGCTTTTGAAGGGTTCATGTACGTTGTCTAATTGTGGCGTACCTCATATCATGAGACTTTTTTGTTGCAAGCATCTTGATAGGGTAATGGTGATGATTTCGTCAATCTCGATTTTTCGTGTTTCGAAATATGCAAAGTTAGGCAAGAAAAGTCGCCCTCCTTCCGTGGGCGGTCAAGTTGAAAACATCGGGAAAAAGTTGTAAGATTGCCGACATTTTTTTTTAGAAAGTGATGCAGAAGATTTGTAACAACCCGGTTTGACGAAATCGGGGAGTGGTCGCTAGGCCAGAGGGCGTAGACAAAGAGCGATTCTTGGCAAGTTTCTATGATGGTGAAAGGGGCAGGAATGAATCAAATTATACACCAAACAGAAGAAGAGCAATTTTGAGATATATATATATATATATATATGTGTGTGTGTGTGTGTGTGTGTGTGTGTGTGTGTGTGTGTGTATGTGTGTGTGTGTGAAAACCGGAATTAACTTACAGAATAGCCTTTTGACATAATGGCAAACTTTGCTTTGGAACTCCAAAGTTAAGCGAGCTCAGGCTAGAACACTATCAGGATGGGTGACCTCTTGGGAAAGTGCCTACTTGTACGCTAAAGGACAAAATCGTGAGGCTCGGTATGGAACGGATCAAAACGGACAATATTTCGAGTGAGTTAATCCAGTGATGTCATAATATGGTATCAAAGCGAGATCCTCTCAAGTAGGTGTGTGATTCGGGTGTTGCGACCTCCCCGAACCAGCCCCGCCGCCTAAGGGGTTTGGTTAATGAATTACTAAGTTAGACCTAGCTCGAGCTCTCCCAAGCCCATACCAATTTGTGACTTAAGTTTAAGTTATTAACATGCAAGTCAATTTCACCTAGGAGTCGCCACTAATCAGTTTTTGGTGGGTCGATTAGACACCCAAGTAAAGCACGGGATAAATGCTTCACTTCTACGAACCAGAGATTCAATGGGTACGAGGACTTGATTATATTAATTGACTAATTAGTGCCATTTCGGTACCTAACCTTGTTCAATTACCGCCTAACGTGTTCACACTAATCGGGAGTTTCAAAATTCGATTCCTAACTAAACTAGGGTAAGAGCAATAATCAACACAAGAACCTAACATACCTGGTCGACTCAAGAACCTAACATGCCCAATCAACTACGTGCGAGGTTAAATCAAACGCGCAATTCGAAGTGTATGAACCAAGCAACGTGGAATCAAACATGACACTAATCACACAATAGGGCAAGAAGAACCAATTCCAAAATTCAAATAATATTTTTTGATTTTTCGAATTTTTAAAAAAATATATATTTTAATATTAAAATAATAATATAATATAAAAATAATATAAAAATGGATCGGGTCGGATCTCCACATCCGAATCCGATCAAGACTGACCCGGGCGCGACGGCCCGAATCCACAACCGAACCGGGCTCATTTATTGAGCTCGATTCGGCAAATTTTTTTAAAAGGGGAAGGGCCCAGCTCGAAATTCTTTTTAAAAGAAAAACAAAAGCCCAGAGCTCAATCAAGAAAATAAAACCGTAAAATCCTAAATAGGCTGGCCCACTACCTATTCTAGCCCATTTAAATAAAACCCTAGAATCAAACCCTACCCGGTTTCGACCCGCTCGCCCGACCCGGTTTGTGGCCATTAACCTGATTGCCAAAACCCTAGTGCCCGCGACCCGACTCGCCCGACTCGACCGCCGCTCGCCACTCCTGCTTGGAGTGCTCGCTCGCTTCCGGGGCTGGGATCGTGCCCGGCCGCCTCGCCTTCGCCGGCCGGCCCAACTACCGGCTCTTCCGAGCCCCAGCCTTCGTGGCTAGGGTTTCCGGTCCGGCGGCCGAGCCCGTGCTCGGCCGTCGCTCAGCTCATGTCCGCATTGCCGCCCCGACGAGGGGCCGCGGCGTCCTCTGTTCAGGTCATCGCCGTGGCGACCAGCGGCACGCCGGGACCGTCCGACATTCACGCACAAAAAAAAGCACAACAGAACAGAGGCAAATCCAAGAAGTTTGGTTCAGGCATAACATCGAACAGTTGGTGCGCACTAAAAAAACAAGGGATTTCCGGCACAATCGAGGCTCAAAACGGACCGGGATCATCGACACCAAACATGCGAAGAAACAGGAACAAGCACGAGGCCTCACGGATCGGAACTCGCACGAGCCGGACGGCCGCGAGCTCCGCGAGCTCCGGCCAGCGAGCCAAATGAACGGAAGTAGAAACAGGGGAGGGGATGCCATTGCGGCACTCCCTATCCAGCTCGGCGATGGCGAACGGGGTGACCGCGATGGATTGGACTACATCCGGTCACCTCGCACGCCTCCAAGCCAGAATCATCAGGAAATCAGCTTAGGACCTTTGAAAAAAAACCAAAAAAATCGAGACCCACCTTAGACGCGAAAGGGAGGCCACGGGCTCGAGTGGCGCGGCCAGGAATCGTCGAATGACGCTCGGGCGTGGCTGAGCTACGAGCAAGCTCTCCGCTCCCTTTCTCAGATCCCGCTCTCGCCCCCTCTCTCTCTCGGATCTCTCTCGGTTTTCTCCCTCTATGGAACTCTATCTCTCTGTTCTTCGATCTCTCTCGGCTCGGGCTCAGCTTTAAGGGCTACGGCAGGCGTGCATGGCTTCCTGCCACCGCCAGCTGCCGTGGCTGGCTTGATCCTGAGCCGAGGATCACACGGGTCTGTCCCCGCGCCTCTGGCTTCTGCTCCTCTGCTTCCCCTGGCTTCCTCTAGCTTCTGTTCGTCCTCTCCCTCAGAAGCGTTGAACAACGCTGGGGAGAAGGAGAACAGTGCGCAGGCCGGGCCCGGGGGAAAGGGCCGGCCCTCACAAAAAATAAAATAATATAAAATAATAAAAGAAGAAGAAGAAAGAAAACAGAGATGGGCCACACGAAAATAAAAAAGGGGAAGAAAAGGAATGGGCCGGCTTGGCCCGGAAATCTTTTTTTTTTTTTTTGCGGATATGTTCTAACAGACCCTATTAATCCAAATGCGCCTAATGTCTATATGCCATGTAACTTAATGAAAATATTTTTGTTTAGGGATTAAAATTAAACCCTAATTTTCTACATGGTAAAACCCTAAATGATTAGACAAAATTTAGGTATCAACAGCTACCTCTCTTTGAAGGGGAGCTCGAAGAGGTTTTTTTCAAAGATAAGAGACAGTTAAATTTTGTCCATAGAGGGAATGGGAAGATGCATGAGAGATGATTGGATTCTTTTTTTCTTTTTTTTTAAGGGGACAAAACTAAAATGACGTTTAGGGACTAAAACCCTGTAAACGTCGGGAATTCCACCTAGGGATTAAAACTCTATGAGCAGCTAAGATCCCGTCTAGGAACTAAAACCCTATGAACGGCAATAGGAACGGTGCCTTGAAGGAAAGGCTAGGGACTAAAACCCTATAAACGTCGAAGATTTTGCCTAGGGACTAGAACCCTATGAACGACGAAGGGACTAAAACCCAAAAAGTACGCCTAGGGACTAAAACCCTATGAACATCAAAGATTTCGCTTAGGGGCTAAAACCCTATTGAACGGCAAAGGGAATAAAACCTAGAAGGAACGCCTAGGGACTAAAACCCTATAAATGTCGAAGATTCTATTTAGGGACTAAAACCCTATGAACAGCTATGATCCCGCCTAGGGACTAAAATCTTATGAACGGCAATAGGAACAACGCCTTGAAGGAATGTCTAGGGATTACAACCCTATGAACGTCGAAGATTTTGCCTAGGGACTAAAATCCAGAAAGTACGCCTAGGAACTGAAACCCTATGAACGTCAAAGGCTCCGCCTAGGGACTAAAACCCTATGAACGGCAAAGGGAATAAAACCCAGAAAGAACGCCTAGGGACTAAAACCCTATAAATGTTGAAGATTCTGTTTAGGGACTAAAACCCTATGAACGGCAATAGGAACAATGCCTTGAAGGAACGCCTAGGGATTACAACCCTATGCACGTCGAAGATTTTTCCTAGGGACTAAAACCCTATGAATGACGAAGGGACTAAAACCCAGAAAGTACGCCTACGGACTAAAACCCTATGAACGTCAAAGGCTCCGCCTAGAGACTAAAACCCTATGAACGGCAATATGAACAACGCCTCGAAGGAACGCCTAGGAACTAAAACCCTATGAACGTCGAAGATTCCGTCTAGGGGCTAAAACCCTTTGAACGGCGAAGGGGATGAAACTCAGAAGGAACAATATTTCCTATTAAAATGCGAAGAATCTCCACAATGAACAGGTCAAGAGAGATATTACGAGCCATAGTAATGCTCCATGTAGAAAAGTGTTTCAAGCAACTGTTGAAGCTCGATGCATGTCGATTTCACCGGGAAAATTTGCCGTATTGTAATGATTCCGGGCTATTAAAGCTCACCACACTTGTCGATTCGCAAGCTACCGAAGTGGTCACTGCACAAAATGTGTCTTAACAAACTCACCGATAGCGAAGAACATCATTACTGAGAGAGTGTTGATTGTACGAGCAATTCAAACTGATTTTGAATGTCCAGCAAACATTCGGCATCGTTCAATATCACAAAATTGCCATCGGGCTTGGGAAGTATCATTAATCCTCAAATTCCCTTAGGAGAAAAGTTTTTGGCAAAATGATCTAGACTCGTGAAAAGGGCTCGTTAAACATGCCAAACAAGATCTCCTTAATTAGAAAGGGCCTCTCACAAGCTCTCGAAGAAGGCTGTTTGATTCCACCCATTAATGTGGGAAATAGACATGATCTCTCCATATACCTCACATTATCAGTGTCGAAGGTTTCGAGAATCATTCGCAATAAGTACGCATTGATCAATCCAAGAGGTCTTTTTAAAGGACTGTAAAGTAGAGTTGGTCATGGTTTCAACAAAGGATAAACATTATCAGCCAGGAAATGAAATAATCGTCAATTAGCATCTCCGCCAGGTTTACAAGTCAAAAAACCTTGAGACGAGATAAGATAACATTACCCCCACTTCTTCAAGCGATAGCTCCTTTGGGAATCCAAATTTCTGCTTAGACCATCCAAATCCGAAGAGACTTTGGAGAAGGTTATAACATTGGTTTGGATAAAGGCTCGAAAGGCTCAGAAATTTTCAAAAGGGATTCAAAAGTTGGTGATCACCATGGCATCATTACCATATCATCCAATCTTTTCGAGGACACTTGACTTTTGAAATCCAATTTGTCTCGAAAGTCCATTGACTAATCATTTCAATACAAGAGCTTCGCTCTTTTCTTTAATGACTTTTGCATTTGCAATGATTTTCTTTTCATGCAAGCATTTTGCTTTTGACACTTTTTCCTCACAAAAGAATTCTTCTCTTGTTGCTAATTTTTCTCTCTCTTTTTTTTTAATGGGCATTGGCCTTACTTTTACTAGGCACACTGCTTTTTCATGCTCCCTAATTTTCATTTGACTTTTGCTCTTTTGATTTTTTTTGAGCTTTTAAGACTTTCGAGATGTTTTTTACATTATCTCACGAGTATCCATTGTCTTGATAAATCACATGCTTTGTCCCAGTATAGGTAGATAATCACCACTTGGGCTTTAGAAATGAATATTCAGGCTCAACTTAGCTGAACAAAGGGTATAAGTGTTTGGGTAGAGAAATGAATGCTCTTCTTCATTTTGGGATGTTTCGAGCTTCCACAAGGATTCACCTGAAGTTACCACAAAAAGATTGATACCAGTGAGAGCAAAAAAATCTTTCTCATCTTTTCACCAAATGGTGTTACCAAAATCTCCAAATTTGCCCCAATTGTGGGGTGGTTCTTGACAGGGGTATTTTGAGAATTCTTCACATTTAAAGGCTTAAATGGGCTTAACTATGATCACATGTAGTGTGTAGGGTGGATGAAAGAAAGGCCTCTTTTCACTTCGATCCATGTACTACTTGCGAACGAATCACTCATCCTAAGACACGATCTTTTCACGCTCAATTCTCAAAGTGTTTATAGGACGTGTTTGGAAACGGCTTGCCTTTCCTCATTCTAAGTGCTTCTCACTTGACATGATTAACATATTTCCTCTTATTTTGCTGAGGTCGCTTGTGTCACGCCCCGAACCTAACGGGCTCGCGACACCCCTCGATGGTCGATCATTGAATGCGACGTCCCAGGCACGTCGCCGACCCAACCCAAACATCAGAGATTAGGTACGCGTGGAAACAAATGGAAACAACCCAGACAAATAATAAGGACAATGGGTAGCAGTAGCACGAAACAATAACTGTAATTTCTACTCTTGGCAGATACATACGACGCTCACAAAAAGACAATCTCAAGCTAGACCACAACAACAAAACCACATTCCTCAAAAGAGACAATAGTTCACAAACTTAACTCCTCTACAAAAAGGGGAACTCAAAATACCGGGTACTTAACCCGTCCTCGATCTCCGAGATACCCTTGCAGCATCTCCAATCACTCATGGTCGCGGATCTGAAATGGTTATATAATAACCGTGAGAACGAGTCTCAATAAGCAACCCCCTATACCCCACATAGGCCAATGCGTACCCAAACAAGTTGTACATGCAATTTACTCCATAACTTATAAAATTCGCATCATTGTACTTACCTCGCCATCAAGCCCATGCCAACTCTACACGTTAGTCACAACGTGATAATACAATAATAGTAATTCAATAGTATATCACAATCGCTCAAACACCAACAACACTTGCACTCAATCAATTCAATTAACTCAACCACACATTCAACCAGCCAATTCAATCACACGCTCAACCAGTCAATTCAATCACACTCAAATCGCATGCATGGCCGAACATCTTTCTCACGACCCGCGCCACTGCGCCTCAGGTTCATTCTCACTGCCCGCGCCACTACGCCTCAGGCCCATTTGGCACACCGACCATTCATGCTTTCACACGGACCACCGTCAACACGTCCCAAGTCCGTAGCCCTTCGATCAATCCAGGCTTAATTCTAATGACCGACGTAAACACGTCCCGGTCCAACACACCTTTAACGGGCCACCGTCAACACGTCTCAAGCCTGCATCCATTTGACAAACCGGCCATTCATGCCTTCACACGGACCGCCGTCAACACGTTCCAAGTCCGTAGCCCTCCGATCAATCCGGGCTTATAATCGACAGGCATACACACGCCATTCAATTCAATCAATTTCACGCCAATTACACCCAACGATCCACATTCACAACTCAATTCAATTCACGGCACGCCACACCAACCCACAAACTCGACATTCAATCGCCCACATACGAAGATCCAAATCATGCATATAATCTCATCCAATCCAACTAACACAATTATATAGCAATATAATTAAATTAAACCGTGCCCTAACCGTTCTAAACCCTAAACAAGTCCATAAAGTACCCAAAGTACTAGATAGGGTTTAGGAAGTCACTTACTTGATTTGGCCAAGAGAAAATCGGCTCGGGCCTAAAATGGCTCGGGTGAACAGTGCTGGACTAGTCACGGGCGCGGGCCAATGGGCGCGCTGGCCGGCCAACATGGGCACAGTGGCCGGACGGCGTGCCTGGCGCACGGGCGCTGTGGCTGAACGGCATGCCCGAGGTGCACGGTCGAACGGAATGGGTGACGGGCCCGGGCGACGAGCCGGCTGGACGAGCAACGCGCCTGGGCGACGGGCAAGGCGTCGGGCCGGATGAGCAAGGCGCCGAGCAGTGGGCGAGCGGCTTGGTCGCGTGGCAACGGTGGCCACGGCTGGGCAAGCCCGGCACGTGGCCGGCGGGTTGGCCGGGCTGGTCTGGCTAGCCGGGGCGGCGACCGGCGGCGAAGGCACGATGTGGCGATGGCGACGGCGGCGGTCACCGCGACGGCGACGCGGAGGCGACGAGCGGACGGAGAGGTGAAGGTCGGCCGGGCAATGAGGGTGAGGAAGAGAGGGGTCGGGCTGGGGCCGAGTGAGGCGACGACGACGAGCTTGCGGGGCGGCGCACGGCGGCGGCCGGACGACGGTGGCGATGGCTGTAAAGTGGCCGGACAAAGACCGGGGCGCGACGGGGATAGGCATGCGGATAGCGGCGGCGCGGCTGCCCAAACAGGGAGGAGGCGCTGGGGAAGAGAGAAACAGGGGGGGGAGGAGGTCGCGCGGTGGCGGCGGCGGCGGCGGCGTTGCGGGCGGTCGGGCGACGGAGGACAGGCCGACGAGCGGATGGGCAACGCCGGACCGCGGCGGGCGCGGCGGCGACTTGCTGCTGCGCGCGACAGGAAGAAGAAGAACAGCCAAGCCGGAGGAGGGGGAAACGGCCGGACGGGCGGCGCGGCCTGGGCGTGGCGATGGCCGGCCGGGCGGGGCGACGGCGGCACGGCAATGGCTGGGCAAACACGAGCAGGTGGGTCGAGCGGCGAGAAGAAGAAGAAGTAAAAGCCATGGCGTCGGGGAAGAGAAGGAAGAGAAGAAGAAGAAGAAGGAAAAGAGAAAAGGAAGAGAGAGAGAGGGGGGGCAAGGTCTGAGCATATGCAGGGGGAGTGGACGGGCGCAGAGGGGAGAGAGAGAGAGGGGGGCCAAAAGTCAAACGTCATCATCGCAATCCAACGGCCCACGATTCGAACCCACAAACGATCCAACGGTCCAAAATTAATCCTAAAATATAATAAGGGATAAGGGCCAAATTAATTAAATCACACTACCCCGAGGGAGATCTACTAGTCCAAATCCGCACCCGGTCAAAAATCCACTTTTCACATATTCCGGGCAATATCGAGGCTGGCCACAATAATATCGACACCATCCAATTAAATTCGTCCCGAAACTCCAAGAAATTTGACACCAAAGTTTGGGCTCTAAATAACGGCCAAATTCGATCGAGTGCGATTCTAGCGAAATCTCAATTTTAAAATAATAATCGGGAGTGATCAGTTCCCGGGCGAGATTTTTACTATAAGCACACTGACGAATTACACGTTTTATAAATCCCAACTATGGGCCAAAATTCGGGATGTCACAGCTTGAGTTGACTAATCTCCACGGGGAGTTTCGATTCAAAATTAACGATCCATCAAGCGTCAAGACAACATTCAAAATTTTTGCGAAAAGTTTGATTTCACAGTTTCAACTTTTATGCTTGCTTTTCTCAAACCCGTCAAAAACCACTTTTTTGTTTTTGTTGTTTTTTTTTTCAAATCAAATTTTCCATTCGACCTTCTTTTGGCATTAAGAAAAAGGGTACTTACCTGCGGCGTGGCGACTTGGTAACCCTGTAAAGAATAAGAAAGAATGTGTTAGTTAAAGACCCTTTAGGGATTGGAAAATTGGGAACGATACAACATTACCCCTCGTTTGCATTTGTCCTTCAAGTCTTTAATGCTTCCTATCAAAGGAAAGGAGAATCATGTCAAAAATTATATTAAAATGGACAGTTGGAAACGATACAATTTACCCTTCATTTGAATTCGCCTTCTTGGGTATTTGACAACGCCCCTTCATGCGCTTTTGTTCTTCAGGCGTTAACATTTCCTAAATGAATGATTTGGCCTCATCGTGTTTCTTTTGTTGGAGATGTTGCTCATGTGGTCAATGCACCACTTTTTTGTGCTGAATCGAATGACTCCGCTTTATCATGCATCATGGATGAGGGTTACTGCCCTTTCAGTGACCTGCCCTGCTTATCACCCTGTAAAAAGGAAATGGAACATGTTATCTCCATTCTCGATTAAACTTAATTTAGGAACGATACATCCTTTTGTGCTAAATTGGATGGCTTTGTCATGATTTGTTGACGGGAGGTGTTGCCCCTATGATCAGATACACTCCCCTTCAATGTGTATTGCCTCATCATGCTTTCTTGGAAGAAGTTGTTGTCGCCATGGCCAAACACATTATTTCATCTGCAAAACGAGAAATGGCACAAGTCATTTCCATTTTCAGTTGGACTAATTTGGGAACGATATACACCCTTTTCTTTTTGGGACGACGCGGTTCTGGACTAAGTTGTCCTCATCGTGCAATCCTGTTGATTCCCGAGAATTTGCCTTACATCAACACTTTTTGTCCTCATAAATTCTGCACAAGAGGAGGAACAAATCATTCTTTAAATAAATCGAATTTAACTCGGAATGATTATGACCTTTTACTTGGGGGCACCATTTGATGACTGATTCTTGCTCGTGTACATCCATGCCTTGAAGGATCATTTCACGAACCACCAATAATCATCTCCATGCTGGATTAAATGCTGAGAAGCTATTTGAAGGCGCAAAAATTGCAGCTACTAATGCTCAGCAATTCCAAATGGATCATAGCTCATTCCTCTTCTTGTATTTTGACAATATCGTTTGAATAGTCCACATCCATATATGTGGACCCGTCAAAGAGCTTCCCATGAGTTATAGATGTCACCAACCCAGGAAGTAGCCTTGGTGCCGAGGAATCTTCGCACATTTCTTCTTTTGAGAAGGTTGTCAAATTAATATGAGATTCTCCAAGATGAGAAATTTCTGTGGACTTTGCTTTGAGAACAACAAGGATTACCTGAAGCACAAAATTTAAGAGTGTTTCTTCATCCATGTTGACGATTGAAGAAAGAAGTGGATTCACGAATGTGACCCTAAGATCAAATTTCAAATTTAGGAATGTTGAGATGTCATCCCTCCTCGGACTCGTTTACCGAAAATGGTAAAGCGTAAAGGCTTAGTGGATTCTTGAAATGGAGCTCTTTATGAACACTAGGGTATCATTGTCTATGCCAAGAGCCACAAGTCCTTCCATCTTTCATTAGTGGGAGACTAGCCTTTTCCATATTGCTTCAAGGCAAGCATGAGAGATCGTGATGATCTCTTACCATTAATCAAATTTGTGATCTCCTTTTTTAAGCTCCCAACCATTGGCTCGAATTCTGGAAATAGAATCAAGTAAAGCTGGTCTTCACTTGTATCGGGGATCCCTATCAGGTACAATGTCGTGGTGCGTATCAGACCTCACGCCTGAGAAGCCTTCTTCTAATGTCCACGATTGCTAGTAGTGGAAAGTTTCCCCGGTTTACATTGTCCAGAGAGACCTCAACAATGAAAATTATTCCTCCAATCTTGTGGTTCTTTAGAGCAACAAAATGAGAAACTTTCTGATAAAACCATCGTGGAATCTCACTCCCAGCGATATTCAAGTTGTCCAAATGCTTTGGAGCAACCTTTTCAATTCTTCTCTTCACTGCTAGGATGCATGCCTTGCAACCACGCAGGAATAAAATGCCTTAGAGGCTTCATAGAGACCAGGGACATCAACTAAATTGCTGCAATTAGTAAAATCCAGCTTAATTTAAACCATCCACATTTATCAAGTCGTACATGCGCTCCAACGCATTACAGTTCGCCATATTTGACTCAAGCAAGCTCGTGAGAAATGGAGGCAGATACAATGAGATAAATCGAGTTTTTTTTTTTAGAAATACAAGGCCCCCAAACTGGATGGAAAGCTGGAAAAATCATTATGACCCAAATCCAAATCCTGCAAGGAGGCAGTCCTTTCAAAAATGTTGGAAATTCTTGCTAAAAATCCTCAAGCATGAGCACCCATTTCCTTCAATAGACAGCAGTTTGTAAATGACTCTGGAAGAACAATATGATTTAGGGCATCGGATTGATTAGGTTCAGCCAGTTCTGGATTGTCTTCCACATTTAGAAGCTATCCTTCTCATTTTCAATGATGTCAAGCTTGTGAGCATCTTAAATTCCCGGGGTCATTCTATGACAGAAGTTCCTGATAAGTAAACCAGACTTTTCAACTTCCCAAGTGAAGCAGGTAATTGCTAGAGTTGTGCGTATTGACTTAGTCTTAAGGTGCGAAGCCTTTCAAACATTCCTATAGACTCTAGCAATGTTTTTATCACGGTGTCATCCCAGAACATATTGATGAGGCTCGACATATCTCCAATGGGCTGTATTTTGACAGGGATAACTGACCCACAGCAACTAGTAACTCTGTCAGCGAACGGCGACCACGGAAAAGTTGTGTCAATGATCTGAGATTCCCAATCGTATCAGAAGTGTCGCGAGCGATTTGCACAACATGAAACTTAGTTTCTCAAGTTTTGTTCAGGACTCTATTGAACTAGGAAGTTCCTTAATTGCTGAACCATCGAGAGCAATGTTCTTTAGAAAACTTAGTTCTCATATGCAATCAGGAAGCTGTTCCCTAGACGAGCAAATTCAGTCATCCTCGGAATGCATCACATTCAAGGTGAAATGCTTTGTGTAGTTTTTGTAGATCCTGGATCTATCGCACCAATGTTGATAGGCACTTGTAGTTGTACCATGAATCAACAGTGTCTTGGTGAGCCCTAGAAATTCCAAGTTCATATCGTGAACCCACCATCGAATAGCCAGCCACTACGGATGAAGAGCGTGTGGTAGCGCTTTAGCAATTTATGCAAGTGCATCAAATGGAAATCTAGGAGGCTAACGTGCCTAAAGCCTTAGTTGCTTTGAATCCAGAAGCCGCCTCTATTTTAGTTTAAAATCTCAAGGATGCGAGCAGACTTCATCATGCAAATGTTTGCATGAATCAAACGCCAATCCAATGTGTGTTCCAAGAGATTATTTATGAAGTTTGAGAAGACAGACAGTATACTTTGAAACTTCAAGAAATTATGTCTTCTAGACCTGCCAACTTCATTGCTAACCCATTGTGAGTAATGATTCTTTTCTTCTGTTATCCGTCTGGCAAGTACAACGAGAATCACTTTGTACTCTCTACGACGCAATTGCTTCGACGCTCATGCCTCGCTGTATACGCCTCGAGTTCAAAGGGCCCCCACTTTTGTTTTGTAGGGAAAGTAAATGCCAATCTCAAATAGCCCTTTCATTTTACCTTGTTTCATGAAAGAAAATGGAAAACAAGTCAATCGCTGCATGAGAAGTTCTTATTGGAACGACGACATTTTACCATCCTAGAATGTTTCTCCCAAGTCTCCGTGGAAATTCAATCCATATGGGTAGCTTGCAGCATCTCCAATTGGACCCAAAGCAAAAAGCTACTTATGACCTTGAATTTAAGTTGCATGGTTTACAAAAACATTCAATTGGGTTCACAATCAATGCCCAAAATGCGAAACATGATTCCTACTAAGAATAAAGACGATGACAAAGTACGTAAAACTCTTGCATAGAAGAGTGCAATAAACAAATCTCGTCCTAGCTTTTAGGTCCACTTCTTGGCGTGGTCGAGTGAAAAGATTCTAAAAAAGAGCCGTTGTGTATAACCTTCAAAAGGAAGACAATGTTAGTACATGAATGAAAAAAGTGATCTCTCAATGAAGCCGCCTCTTATAACGAAAGCAAGGCGACGATACGTGCCCTATTGTCCCTATTTGCGGGGATTTGGTATTTCGCCAATATTTCGTAGTAAGAGGAGACATCATTAAAAGATCA